TGGTCCATTTCTATGAAAAAAATCCCCAGGAACCCCTGGTTTTTGAACATGGCAGGTATATTGAAGTTTTATCCAAAGAACACAGGAGAGAGCTGCACCTTGTGTGAAGTTTATTTGAAAATCACCAGAGTTTTCTTCTGAGGGCTACAAAGTGGGATGTGGAGCTCACTGGAGGAGGATCCAGGCTGATCTCTAGCAGTGGGATGGGAACAAAGGCATCTCTGCCCAGAGCATCATATCACAGGACCAAACACATGCAGCTTTTCCTAGGGAAGGCTTGTGTTTGTTGTACAAAACTTTGTTCTTGAATTAGGTTTGTGTTCAAAAAATAGAATGGGCAGCAGCAGCAGTGATACAGAGTCTCTAGAAATGGTGAAGGTGGTCTTTTATTATTATTTTTTAATTCCTAAGTGGACATTCAAAGATAGAGGTATTATGTTTGTTATTAAAGTTCATGTAAAAAAGCACCAACCCAACCCTGTGTTAGATGATCAACATCTTAGCTTTGATGTCAGATGCCTAAGGTGTGCCCTTAGCTCTCCTCTTCCCTTGGAGCAGCAGAGCAAATCACACCAGAGTCATGATTTAAGATGGAAAGGGAACGTGGTTGACTTTTTTTCTAACCAGTCCTTTTATAAAGTAGTGGAGAAGGATGATCAAGTGGAGAACTAGTTTAGGGTGTGGAAGACATCCCATATCTCTGTCTTTGACTCTCAGTTCTCCAGCAATATGGTAGGAAGGGTACCCTGAGTCCATCAGTAGGTGACACAGACAGGGGATGTAGTATAGATAGTAGTACAGGCAGTAGTGCAGCACAGGGACTTAAGCAGACATGGTGGCATTTCTGGTGTTCCAAAACAGGTAAGTTCTTCCAACCCCATCTCAGAGGACTGGTGGTGGTTACCTCCCAGCGTGCAGGCTGGGAGACTCACCTCCAAGCAAACCATCTCTGGAAATACAAAACCTGTCTCAGCTGGTCACATTTGTTACCAGAATCTGAGTCCTGGGAAGCACTAACAAAGAAACCAAGCTAAGAGACATCCATTAATGAGACCTACCAAGGAGAGCAGTCTGAGAGGAGACAAACTGCTAATGATGAGCTTCTGTTGCAAAGGAAACTGCTGAGGACACTTAGCAAAGCAGAGACAGGAATGGGGATAAGTGGGAGGGCATGTGGGTGGCTTTTCTGTCATCCTTTTAGTTTAACAGCTGTGGCTGTAATACCTGGCAAGAGAGCAAACATGCAGAAGGCAGCAGGGCAGTCAGAAGCCTGAGGAGACAGTATTTAGCAGATAAAGCTGGTGGTGCCCAGGCGCAGGGTAAGAACATTATGAGTGTCATTGACAGCAGGAGATGGGTGGATGGGAAAGAGAAAATAGAGTTGTCCTTTGCAAGCCCTGTGCAACAATTCTGAAGGACTGTTGGCAGTCTCAATAGGGTGTGGCAGGTTAAAACACCAAAGAATAATGCCTAGTGAAGGAGGAGAAGGATCAGGACAACCTGGCTGTCCCTGACTTGCCAAACAATTCAAGTGACCTGACTGTATCTCCTCCCTTCTGTGGCAGAGGAGCAGGCAGTGTCTTTTACAGGGTGCCTGCAGCATCCTTGTCCACACACTGCAGTGCCTTGAAGTGGTTGAAAGAGCATTAGGTCCAGGTTATGTGGCAAAACACTAGCTCAAACATCCCAAGCATGGATGATTTTGGAACTAACACTTTGGCCAGACTTGCTATAAAGTGATAGTTTCAGGTCAGAGTATTTCCTGTGACCTGGAGTGGTTTCCCCCCAAGTGCAGAAAATAAAATGTCTAGAGGGTGTAAATAGAGAGCTGCTTTGGCCTGTGCTGTTGGCAGAAGTTGATAGGAGAAAGAAATGAGAAATCAAAAGGGCTAAAGGAGCTGTCAGGGTTGTCCCCACCATGGGGAGGACGGTGTGTGGGGGTCAGTCCACCCTGATGTCACCACACAGGTTGCCTGTAGCTGTGCTCGTGCTCACAGGGGTAAACCACAAAGCAGAAGAAGAGGTGGAAGGAATTTAAATACTTTTCCCTGTCTTCATTAGCCTTAGATACATCACTGCAATTAAGGTCTGACTGAGGAGAAAGGAAAACTCCAGCTCAGAAAAAGCAATTGCAGTAGCTAAAACTGCATTAACAACAAGATTGCAAAATTGCTGGATTGTACTGGGTAAAGCAATAGATTTCTGTCTTAAATAGGCATGTGACTGGAAGAAAGAAACTTTTTTTATAGTACCTTGATAACAGCCATCAAATGACATGAATGGGGGAGAAAAAGGGTAAAATTAGTAAACATGACTAATAGCCTTGGGTTGTTGGTGGTGGGTTTTTTTCATAAAAGGAAACTGATCTCCTGTGGGACCAAGAGCTCCTTAGAGGTTATTTAAATAAGAGGAAAAATTTTGCAGCTGCTCAATATCCCTGAGTGGTGAGAAACTCTCAAAACTAGAAGAGTCTGAGTTTAGGGTGGAAAACAAGGTTTATGTTGCAGTTCCTGCT